GTCCCGGGGGCCGGGCCCGCGCCGCTGGGAAGGCGACGCGTCGGCCAGCGGGGCAGGAGCTCTGCGTCGAGCTGTTGCCGCCTCCTCTGCCGTCTCATCAAAGACGCCTCGGGACCTGGAAACAGAGATTGACGGCAGGGCCGTGTTATGTGGACTGCCGAAGCAGGGAGGGCCCCGTTTTCGGAAAGCAGCCCCTCTGTCCGGCGTGAGGTTTTCCTGCGCGCCTGCGCTGGGGGTGCGCGCATGGGCTGTCGGGCGGTGCTGGGGCCACTGGTTTGGATGGTCAGAGACCTCTGGCAATCTGTGCGTCCCCACCTGGGAGAGCTTCATTGCAGCTGTGGTGTTAGCAGCCGAGTTCCAGCCGGTTTGGATGAGCTGAGCCCAGGGTCCAGGCTATCAAGCAGTCCCGCGCCGGTGCTGAGGGTGTCTCGTATTAAAGGTGATCTCTGGGGAAGCGAGGAGGAGCAGCCATTCCACGTGAGCCATTTGACAAGGATAATTGCGAGAGGAGAGTTGCAAATAGTCATTCCTAAAAAAGCAATTCTCAATATAGGGAATTATATTTTCTTTTTTTCCGAGAGGAGAACAGTGTCTTCTCAATGTAATGGTTTCTTCACGTTTTTAACTCTTATTGTTATTATCCATTATAACAATGTTCTGAGGCTTTGAACAGCAAGAAAAAAATATAACGAATAAAGTAATGGGATACTGCAGCATAATCCTTCTTTTTATACTTGGCAAATTGGGTGGCCAAATGATGTGGTTCTGAGTAGAAAATGTAATGACTGCGCACAAATGTAGCGTAAAGTTTAATTGGTATTGCTTCCCAAAGGTGGTTTTCAGGCTGCGCAGTCGATAAATGACCAGCGTCTAAAGACGGTGCCTGGCCGCGGCGGGCAGCCGCCGTGCAGCCCCTTGCTGGCCGGGCTGCTGGGGTCAGTTTTGACACCTCCAGGAGAAGATGCCGGCGTGGAACCATCCGCCGTGGGTGCTTCAGCTCCCGCTCCCGGGGGCACGGCAGCAACCGGCAGCGTGAGGAGCTGGTGGGGAAGGCAAAGGCAGCCGGGTTCCCTGCAGCGCTGTAAGCGGGGGGTCCTGCAGCAGGGGGACGGTCAGCGTGGTTCCTGGGCTGCACCCGCGTCCCTGAGGTCGGTCAGAAGTTCCCTCTGGGGAATGTAAAAGGAGACAGCATCAGCTCCAGGAGCTGGCAGGGACCGGAGCGTTGCGTCCATCACCCGGAAGGGAGAGGCGGCAGAAGGTGTTTTCAGGGTTGGTGGCGGCGGGTTTTTTTCCTGCCTGAAGTTTTCTCCCAGTTTCTTCAGGTCTTTCAGACAGCCACAGGGTGGAGAACAGTTTGAAAAACAGAAAAGCAGGTTCCTGGGAGCAGGAGGTGGGCAGGGGGACGGGGAGAAGACTTCTGATTTTGAAGCAGTGCCCCTCGCAGCGGAAAGGGACTTTCTGAATACCTTCCCCTGTCTTTATCTCCTGCTTTTTCATGGTTTCTCCTCGAAGGCCCCAGTCCGGTGAAGCACTTCCATACACATCCATCCTGAAATGTGTGTTTAAATCACGCTGAACCCGGCGGGAGCACGGGTGGGTGCTGGGAGCGGGTGCCCGTGCCGTGGTGGTGGCAGTCACCCCAGGTCTTGGCATCGGGGGGGGTTTGCGTGGACTCTTGGTGCATTTTGGTGGAAGGGGAAGCCGGCCCTGCCATGCCGAGCTGCACCAAGTTATTGGTCCCTAAATAATTTAATGGTGGAACGGTCTTACCGTGGCAAAGGAGTGTCTTCTGCCAGCACGTTTTAAGGTGCTTTGAAGGTGGATGGAACTCCTCCAGGCCAGGAGCCCCTCTGCTTGGCAGCAGGGCGGGCGGCCGCGCTGAGCCACGGTTGTGCTTTGTGGTGTTGCCTCCGCAGGGATCGCCGTCTGCAACATCCCCTCGGCCGCCGTGGAGGAGACGGCCGACTCCACCGTCTGCCACGTCCTCAACCTCTACCGGCGGGACACTGGGCGCCACCCGG